CCCGTTCCGTCACAGCTACTGCACGGTGGAAGATTCCGTTGTGCACCGCGCGGCCGCCTCCTGCGGTGGCGGCGGGGCCCGCCGCCTCACCTAGTGGCGGCAGGTGCCACGTGTCGCCTGCCGCACCTGCCGCCACTAGTTAGGGGATCCTTTTTGACGTTTTTATCTGCAGATAGTCCTTTTTGACAATAGCGTTCGGCAGGGGGTCCTTTTGGACAAAAAATCCAGAATTGGTACTACCTTTCCAAAACACTGGCAGAGCTTCAGGCCTTGGATTACGCAAAGAGAAGCGGACTAGATGTCGTGACAGTCTGCCCGTCCTTGGTGATCGGGCCCTTGCTGCAACCTACGGTGAACGCGAGCAGTTCGGTCATAGTTGTTTTCTTGAAAGGTTGCCTCGCTTTGCCACACCGATCTGAAATAGTCATCGCCGAAGGCTGAATTCTTTGCCTATGTTTCCATGACTGCATTAGGTCCAATACCTGCTTCATACATTAGTATATTCGATTGAAATGGTTTTATCCTCTGACTCTTTGCAGGTGATAATGAGGTAAAGAGCAAAATCAGAAACTTCGTGGATGTTCGAGACGTTGCCGATTCTCTCATCTTGGTGTATGAAACCCCAGAGGTCTCCGGACGTTATGTATGCAGTTCACATGCAAGCAAGGTCTCTGATGTCATTGACCTGCTGAAGGGCATGTATCCTGCTTACAAATTTGCCAACAAGTAAGCCTGTCATTAATTGATATACATATGGTTGAGCTTATAAATGCAACTTGGTGATCCGTACAACGCTTCCTCTGATTTCTTAAGCTAATTTCTGATATTAGAATGAAACAAAAATGATGTTTCTGCATATTTGATACACGGTGCTTTGTGCCTTGTGGAAGCACTGAATTAATGATGATCAGTCTCTTATTGGTGCATATAAGTCCATCTTTCTTGCATAGGCAAATTGGTAATGGTGGCATGACAATGATGCCATGACATGACTACTGTAGCCTAATGCGTATTTCTGCTCGAAACCAATGGCAGGTTTGTCCAAGTGGATGACGAGCCCTCATTTAGTTCAACGAAGCTTGAGATGCTGGGCTGGAAAATCAAGCCACTTGAGGAGACCCTCAGGGACAGTGTCGAATCATACAAGGTTGCATCTGTCCTGGATTAAGCCAACAATATTTATGCATTTTCTTTCATAAGCTTGAGATGCCGGTGGCAACAAGTCTGGCTTTTGTTCATTTTGTAAGTTGATGTCAGCCTTGGTTGTTTTGAGCTTCGTTTGAACAAAATTTAGCTATCGGCATCAAAATGGTATAGTACTAGGAGACGCTCCTTCATGTGCACAATGTAGAAATCAGTCCGGGCAAAGTATGTTCTTGCACTTAATTTACTCTTCATATATTAATGGCATTGCTATAGTTTAGTGATACACCATTTTTCTGTGCAAACTAAAGTGATTCCCAAATAAATGTTTAATCTTTTGAAAACGCTGAATTCCAAATTTGTATGTATATTTTTACTTCCCTTTGATGGGACAATAGTCATCAAAAACATGCTATGACTAGCTTTATGGTTCAGATGTTGGACTCACAACATTCAGTATTCACTAGCACAACTAAAAATAAAAACAATCCTCTTTTTCTCTATCACCTCTCAACTCTTGCAATTGCCTATATTTAATTCCTTAGCTCTTAAACCAAAAACATCACGTCAACAATCAAATCTGGACATATTTACTCCATAAGACTATTTCAGCACGGTTTAGAATGATGTGGCGATGGTTTTCATAGATAGCAAGGTACAAAGAAATTTTTTGAAGAAAAATGAAGAGATTTTGAAGAGTTTAGTTGGAAAAATTCGACAATGATATTTAAAAAAAAAACAGGATAAGCATAAGGCACTACAAGAAATCTGTTGAAACATGATGGTCCCAATCCATTAGGCCAACTCCACCGCGCGACCCCAAACGGACGTCTGTTTTGTCCTGTTTTGTCCCTTTGGGTAGGGATTTGGGGTCGTGTCCGGGCCTGTCCTGGGATGCGGTGGCCGTGCGCCCACCGCGCGGACGCATCCTTTTGCCCCATCCTGTCCGCGTCTATTCTAAAAAAAAAGGACGTTTCAAATGCCAAGCCCCAGTTCACGACCCCAGTTCATCACGCCGGCAACAAAGCCAGCGGCCTACACGACTATCGCCGGCAACACAGCCAGCGGCCGGCAACACAGCCAGCCTCCAAAATGAATAGTTGTCCTCGCCGGCAACACAGCCGCCCTCCAAAGTGAATGTTTTTTCGCCGGCACACTGCCAGCGGCCCAGCGGGCGGGCGGCACTCATGCCAGCCTCCAAAAAGAACGGCTGCTCTCCGTTTCCTCCTCTTCGCCGATTCCGCGTCCAACTTGGCGATCTCCTCCAGCGTGCACTCCGACCGCAGCTTCCTTGGCGCCTTCTTCTTCACCTTTGCGGTCGGGTCGACGGCCAGGCCGCCGGAACTCGGCGGGGCGTCGGCCATGGACGGGGGAGAGAGGGGGCGGCGGGAGGGACGTGGGAGGATTTGGGGGAAATGGCGCCAAATGGGCGGGGGGAGGGGGGTGGTTTCTCCCACCGACAGGCGGGCCAGGGGAGGACAAGCGCGCGCGTCCCGCCCGTCCGCGCGCTGTCCGTTTCACCCTAAAACCGGCGCAACTTTGGGCCGGGGATGGGTCAAAAACGGACACAAAGCGGACAAAAGTCCGTTTGCGCCCACGCGCTGGGCCGTCTCGTTTGTCCCTTTTACCCCCAAACGGACGGGGGCGGACAGGATAGGGTCGCGCGGTGGAGTTGGCCTCACATACCACTACAAAAGTTTGAGATTTTAGAAAGCAATTTGATTTTATGCTATTATGCATGAATATACCTTTATGTTACTCTTGTTATTTTATATTTTATATTCTATTTTAGAATACCAAGTTAAGGTTCCTTTTGTAGTCTCTTCAAAAAATATTTATCTAAAATGCTACGAACATTTTCTACATGGAAAATACTACTCCCTACGATTCAAATTAATTGTCGCAGCTTTACTACAACTTTAGTACAAAGTTGCACTAATGTTGCGACAATTAATTTGGATCGGAGGATATTGGTTCATGTCAAAGTTAGTATCTCTTTAATTCATTTGCTATTATTCATGTATTAAATAAAATTCTAGCTATCATTCGATATAATCCACATTTGAACTATATGTATCAAAAATTGTTCAACAAATAAAAATAATAATTCATATTTAAGTACCTCCGTAACTTTTTAGCTCCTCTCCAAATTTTTTCTAAACAAAAAGTATCCTTGGAAAAGTTCAAACCTCCACATGTGTAATGTTGATATTTTTTTCATTTTTATACAGTTTAAATGTGATATGAAAAATACTAAAATTGGAATGGCGTCATGATCTCATAAGATATTGTTTAAAATGTCTTACAATTTCACAAATCTTGGATCGTACATTGCTTTTATAGCACATGCATCTTGGAGTAAGAATCATATCATTGAAAGGTAAAATTTGGAAGTTTGAACTTCACAGAACATTTCTTTATCTTTTTCACTTGAGATTTAGATTACAACTCTTTTTGAGGGAGAGATTTAGATAACAACTTGATTTTACACTATTATGCATAAATATACTTTTATGTCCATCTTTTATGTTTTATATTTTGATACCAAGTTAAGCATGTAGTACCTTCCAAAACAAATCACTGAAAACTTCACAACTTTCTCTACATATAACATACTACATTATATATGTGTACATCAAAGGTATAATTTGGTATAATTTATGTATTAAATGAATTTCTACCTATTTACCATATACAATTCAGAATTGAAGTTAATGTACCAAAAAAGCCTCCAAATGAAAAAAATGCTTATTTTTTTAGCTCCTATCCATAAAACATATAAAAAATCAAATGGATGGCATACTTTTTTGAATTCATTTGGAATCTTGAATTAGACTTCTTTTTGTTAACAACGGATTAAATCCTACTATTAACATGCATGAAACTGACATTAATAGCCTTTTTATGCTCACACTTAGTTTAGGATTCCTATATATATGCACGCATTGCTCAAGGAATTGGTTGTAATATATTTCAATGGGATTTAGTCATATGGAACATGAATATTTGGATAATAATATGAGACCGAAACAAAAAATTCCTATGTTGTACTGTATTTGAGTATATATATACAAAACATTTATTGAATATAAGTAGTATTATAGAATGCTAACAACAGAGCCTTTCATGTGCATGGTTGCATGTGGATGTGGCATGTTTCAATTATGTTAGTGGAGATCGCCTATTTAGTTATGCTAGATGATATCCCATGTGTTGCTGCGGGAATCTTACTAAAAGGAATATATATTTTTGTGCTAGATAAAAGGAATATATGAATATGTGGTATAAAGTAACTAAAGCTAATGCAAAAGCAAATGTAAGTGTGTTGTGGGTTTACACTTTAAAAGCAATATAATATATGGAGCATCTAAACATGATGTAGCAAAAAAAAAAGAGAAAACTTTTGGGTTGAGGTTAACAAGATATTAGTTTCTACCAATAATGTGAAGCATGAACTTGAGAGGTATGCTCCAAGCTTCCAATACATATATCGTTCATATCAAAATAAAAATTAATATAGAAAAACAATTATGGCTAACATGGATGACTTGATGATGTGGCTTGGTTGCATGGATAAATTAATGAAAATTGTAACTAATAGCTGCCATGTATAACTTGTTATTGTGACATAATTGTATGGATATAAGAAAAATAATCAGTCACAACAATTTAGGAATAGAGGATAGATGCCTGATGCCGACAAATGTTATGATGGATCCAAGTGCATCCAAAAACATCAAGGACGTGTTTGGTAGGCTGCATCAAGCCCAACTAGGCTCTGGCAGGCTAAGTACTCACCTGTTTGGTTGCCTGACCTACATGCAGAAACTGGCTTGCACGGAACTTAAAGCGCTCTCAGCCAAGCCCGCAGGGAACGCCTAGATCGGCAGTTTTTCCAGATGCAGACTCAGCCTATTGCAATTTACACTATGGGAATGATGCGAGTTGTGCTTGATGCAGCCTACCAAACGACATGCAGATGATGGCCCGGAGCCTGTATACACCGAAAAAGGCTCCATTGAGACAGGTTCCACCGAGAAAGTAACCAGACACTTCATAAAAAACTAAAAATAGCAACAACAAAAAGTTAAGCAATTCCGATTTGAAAACATGGCCGGGTGTTCTACTCTTTTTTTTTGCGGGTCAACAAGTGTATATATTAATTAAGCAGCAGTCTTACACTCGTTTTGACAGAGATTACACAAATCAATTGGTCTTGAGCCTAGCCAGGTAGCAGTACGCCGCGACATGCGACCTAGCTGAGCCATCAAGTGAGCAGCAGCATTCAGACTACGCTTTACATATACTCCCTCCATTCCAAATTACTCGTCGTAAAAATGGATGTATCTAGAACTAAAATACATCTAAATACATTCATACCTGCGACAAGTAATTCGAAACAAAGAGAGTACTAAGCAAAACTCACGACCTTCATGCAAGAGGTTCTTTGTCTCACATGTGAACTTCGTGAAAAAATCACATCCGTGGTGATTAAGGCGAGAAAACAAAAGTGGGCCTAAAATATGCTTGAACAATGGGTTTTTTAGAGCATGCACTTTGTCCCTTTGTCCAAAACACTTCTTCATGAAAATTTACATGTGAGTCAAATATTTGACTATGTTTGTTAAAAAATAGAATTGTTCATTTTTTTTAAAAATCTGATGTTAATGTTTTTGGCTGGTGCATGTGCACCCAGAAGCCAAACTTATGTGTCGGTGTTGATACCAAGTTTTTTTAGGTAAGAGAAAAATGGGTGCCATCGTTTAACTTGTGCGTGTGGTAGCGTGTGCACAACACGTTACGTTGTACTTGGTGTTCCTTTTTAAGACGTTGCATTTTTTAAAAGGAAAATTAGATCATGAAGAATCGGTATGCGGCCGGATGATTAGGCGTGGTTGTACAGTGGAATATTTTTATCACGGGAGACGACGCTCCCATCCCATGCCATCGATCGACAGCGAGGTTGCGGACACACAAATACAGGAAAGGTCGAGGACTACACACATAAAATTCGCAAAACCAAGG